AAAAAAAAAAAAGAAAATGCAAAGATTACTAAATGTCCTCTGATCCAGAAATTGCCAGTTTTTAATCTGATTTTGTGTGATGTGTTTAAATAATTAGTGTAAAAGAAAATTAAAAAGAATGATGTTAAAATTCCTAGTATTTGAATTGCAGTGAAAGATGATTTTAAAAAGTGATAACTCAAAGGTATTTACCCCCAATTTTAACTGCTGTATTAATAGCAAATCTTTAAAAACATGTAGAAAGATTCAGAAACTTTTTTCAGAGGATGGTAATGGTCTATGTTTGGTTTGTAAAAGAATTCATGTCTTACTGTCGATACAACTCTATTTTATTCATTGTAGTTGCTGTAAGTCCACAAATAGTAGGGGAATACTAATAGAAAGATGCAATTTGTCTTAGAAATACTACAAATTAAAAACATTTTCATTTTGAGACAGACTCTCATTTGAATTAACCATAAGTTTTTGCCTTTTTATTTATATTTCTAATTTCTTATCAAAATAACTACACTGTATCAAATCCTGCTTGTGAAAGATCACACAGAGGAGCAGAGCCCCAACAACACGGTTATATTCTTTTCGGATAGTTTAAGATGAGTTCCTCACACCGGGGTTCATGTACACATTCTGACATCTGCGTATTCTCAAATTTGAGAAACTATGGCTTAATTCAGGCTTAATTCACCATATCTTACTTTCAATACGAGAAGATACTCTGAACTCGCGGAAGAGACACATTTGTTGGTCTGCTTTCAATTCTCTGTACTCACTTAGCTCCTGAATCCTGTTTGCTCCCCTAAGGCCTGTTGAGGTCCTGGATCATGCTTAATGAATCATTTAATTGGTACCCATTCTGGTTACCAATCTAGTCCAGGCCAGAAGAGGAGCCTATGAGGTCAAACATTGACTCTTATTCATATTTCTATTTTATTCAAGGTGGTCTTTTGTATCAAAGTCCCCATATTATATCTTCCTATGCTACATTTTTTCACTTAACCTGATCCCCTTCTCTAAGTTTAGTAAAAGTGGTTCTACGTTCAAGATAACACCTACCTGACTATTACATAGTATAAAACATGGTGTGATGAGAGGAGAACCAGAGAGGGTGAGATAAGAGACAAAGACCCTCCTACTTTGCCTCTGATCTTCATATGATTTTTTTTATGATCTTGCTCACGTCACTTCATAACTCTAACAATCTCTTCATCTGTAATAATAATTCCCATATTTCCCATTAGTTTGCAATGATGAATGAAATAATAGATATGGAAATGCCTGCAAATTCCATGATACCAATATGAGACATTCTTATTAATTTACTGAGAAAGTATTAGGCTGAAGCCATAATATGAGCTTAGACTTACCTTGATAGAAATTACGGCACCGCTGTCTAACTTTGGGTAATACGCATTATCCTTAAACCTTAGTTTCCTCATGCATAAATAGGGTGAATAATACCCATCTCATAAGATTATTCTACATATTTCATAAAATAATTTATGTAAATTCTTAGCCTGATGTCTGGCTTGGGTAGTAAATGCTTAAAAAGTGTAGTAGCAATTTCTAAAAATGACTGGGGTTTAATAATATGTACCAGTGTTGCTATTTTTATGTAATTCAATCACAGGAATGAGAACCTTGTGAAATTATAACGCCTCAGGAATTAAATACTAAAGCAGAACTCTGACCCAAATCCTAATGAAGTGCTTGAACTTTAACTCAAGAGGAAATAGCTTCAAGAACACACTGTTATGGTTGTTTATATAAGCTAATCTAAAATGTTTCTTCTCTTATTTATTTGTCCTATAGATGTACATGAAGGAAAAACACAGAGGTGATGCACCTCCTTTCATCAATTGTTAAGCAATGATCCCGGGGAGAAGGCTACAAAATGCAGATGGAGATTTTTCTTCTCTCTCATTGCAGTCTTGGGACTTGTGGCAGAGAATATAAGTAAATAAACAAATAAAGAACCGCTAAGGAACCGCAAAGAAACGGAGACCATTCCCAGAAGAGTGCTGGTTGGATGCATCAACGTTGCTCAAGTTAGCATTCACATCTGTATCTTATCAGCGTTAAGGTGGAGGGAAGCCTCAGAGAATTGACACTGAAGATGTCTCAGAAATTACTGAAAGCTGTGATTATACTCCTAATTCAAATCTATGCTTTCATCTTATTCCTAAGGAAAAGAAAAATGTTTTGGCCACAACCTATCCTCTAGCAGATGTCCATGAACAATTTCTCATGAAGTAAGTTAGCCAGAGGGACTCATTCTGTTCTAGCTTAGCAAAGCCTACAATTAATATCAGACGAGTATAATCTGCCTCTCGGCCTCAGTTGGCAAGTTCATCATCCCCCAATCAAAGCAAACAATAGGAAAAGTGCGAACGAGACCCACAAACTGAAGGACACCCAGGATTTCGGTTTGACCTCAGTCTCCGTCGGTTTCTAGCAACTCCTCCCCTCCTTGGATCTCTCCAGCCCACAGTGCTTCTTGGTTTCTCCTACTCACCAAGGGCTTGGTTTCATCTTCATCTTTGAAATAATGCAGCTGATCCCCCTTGAGCACAAACCAGCGGGTATGCCAAGTCTTGACAAAGCCTCCTTGCTTTCTCAGCCACCCACACTTGATGGCATTTTGCCTCCCTTGGCTTTGCTGGGAGCTCTCCGTGGAGTCATTGTTCTCCTCCATTATCAAACTGAAGGACTTTCCTAGTTAGCAAACAGAAAAAGAAATAATGAGGTGCTCTGTTATACTCAGTTCCCTCCCTCTTAAGCCACCCTTATCCTTTAAAAGGGGAAAAAAATACCACGAAAACATGGGATCAGGGGTGGAAAATGTTTATTAACTCACTGGTCAAATTTCTAGATGCAAACCACAAACCTGCCCAAGGAAACTTGGAGAGAGCTTGTTGTGCCTTCCTGCCCTCTTAAATGAGCTCAGCAGCTGGGGGGATAATAACACTTTTTTCCCTAACTTGAACTAAAGAATGGGAAAGTTCTAGAGGTAATGAGTTATGAAGAAATGTTTTTCAAACAAACTAAAACAACCAACAAAAACATAATTCTCAAGATTACTTCCTCCGCGTCCGCTGTGCACTGACTGGGGCCCTGCCCTGCAGGCCTGCGGTTACCTGAGCAAGCCTCAGCTGGACACATGTTCTAGTTTAACAGGACTCGGTGGAAGACATTTGTTTTACAGATGCGAACATTTCTCAAGATGTTTCTACCTTCCTTCCCCCAGAGCATTCCCTTGAGAGCTTCTTTGGCTGCTTAGGATTTAGTAAAGCTGAAAAAGTTTAGGAAAAAACAAACAAACAAACAAAAAACCTGTTTGGCCAGTTGAGTTTTCTTTTTTCTACATTCACCCTCAAACTCCAGGACAGGATGGTGTGCCCCAAGCCATGACAGGACGAAAAACATTTTAAGGTTATGTGTGAAGGAGTACAAGGCTGTGCACCCCACACAGAGCAAGAGAATGCAGATGGATCAGTAGGTGAAATGCTAAACCGCCCCAGCAAGGACACGGGAGGCGGAATTTCTGGGAGAAACAAGGACAGGACACATGGTTAAGAATTAAGAAGGCTTTTTCTATCCCAAAACTTCTTGCAAATTCTTGCTGAAGTTAATTTCCAAGCATTTATTCACAAAGTGAATTCCCACCCCTGTATCTTTAATGAGAATATAAAGCTACGGATCAACTAACAAAACCCCTCCTCAGGCACACACATGCATACAGCCCCTACTTTACTATTGCAGACTGATTTCAGAAGACAAGCTTTCTGTCTGGTCTTTGTTTTAACAACTAATTTTTCAATCAATTTGCTTGTACACGATCCTACTTAAAAATTCCATGAAGTTCCAGTGCAGGCCACACAGGGTGGGCAGCCACCCCCCTGCCCCAGCAGCCCCCAGCCTTATAGCGGGACTACCGGGAGGGGCTGGCTTTCTCATCGAGCATTTGGCATGCCAGTGAAGGAGAAGGGCAAACAAGGAGGAAAGCCAGCAGCTGTCCCTTTCCAGCTCCATGGGATTCCCGCTCCCCTTCTGGACCTCTAGCGAATTTCAAGGTAATCTTGGAAGCAGTATTTCAGTATGTCCAAAGACAACTTCACACCTATATGACATAATAGAAAAGGTCAGAAAATACTAAGCAAATAGGAGTGTAGAGTGTATGAGTAAGCAAGATGAACATCTCTGGAAGCAGCGGTGGAAGCCCTAGTTCTGCAGATGGATCTAATGACCTTAAGGAACTTTGGCCTAAACTCCAAGAGTATCATGATAAAGCAGTAAAGGTTTATAAGTGAAAGTAAGCAAACTGAAAAAGGAACAAATTTTAGAAGCACCAAGACTAGAAGAATTCTTCACCAAAAATCAACAGCTGAGAGAGCAACAGAAAGTTCTTTATGAAACCATTAAAGGTTTAGAAGAACAGTTAAGAGCAGGATGATGTGATTGCTGTGCAGCAACTGAAGACCATTTGTGGAGAAAATGGCAAGAGTTTGGAAACATCCAGCAGCAGAATGTTAAACCTATTAGAGAGCTTATGAGTGCAAAGAGTACAGTATAGGAAGAAAATAAAAGGCTTTCTGAGCAATTATAACAGAAAATTAAGAATGATCAACAGCATCACACAACTGAGCTTGAACGTGAGGAAAATGTTATTCCAGATTCACCAATAATAGCCTTTTCAATTTTTTTTGGCAGTAACTGGGTACAAAGACAGAAGAACCTCGAAGTATGATACATAAAACAAATGCATACTACACTGGGGCACTCTGTGTGCGCAAATGACCTGAGAAGAGTTTCCAAGGCCTCAACTCATCCACAACATAAGTCTAATGAAAATGAAATTCTAGTAACTGACACTTGTGATCAGAGTTGACCTCCAATAGCTAAAAAACATGGGACAAGCAATTATCCCACTGATAAGTCACCTTTCAATTTAGCTGCAGTTGTGGCTGAAACATTTGGATTCAGTGTTCAAGAAGAATCTGAATCTCCAAGTCCCATGAGCCCTCTTGGTGATGACCTCTCCCACTGTTGGGAAGATCACAAGAAACAGCCTTTTGAGGAATCTATAGGAAATACTGAAGATAGTTTTAAGATTTTCACATTCTACTTCACAATCTTCTCCTCAAGAATTGACCACTTGGGTGTCATCTCCTATATTTGGAGCTACCTCTAAGGTGAAAAGTAGTTTAGGTTTGAATACAAGTTTGTCCCCCTCTCCTATTCTCTTTTAGAAACTGGAGAGAAAAAAATGTCTGAAAACAGGTCCTTTTTATCAACACTTCTATTTCTAGATCAGAGAAAGCTAGATCAAAATATGATGATAGTACTCCTTTCACACATCATAATCTTGGGTCTGATATGAACAGATCATTAGCCATTCCTTACTAATAAATAAAAATATGAGCAAACCAGCAGGTGTATGTGGGTACTGATCACAGTAACAATGCTGTAACTGGCAAACATTTGGAGGCCCCGAAGTCATTGGGAGGCAGAACCTCCAAAGGAAGAAAACTGAGGAAGAAAATGAACGTGCCATGAGCTATCTCCAAGCCTCTTATGATAAAGAAAATGCTTCTCCTTTTCCAATGGATGATCAATTTTCCATGAAGGAGGACTGCATAATGAATAAACCTCTGGATCTGTCTGATCAACTTTCAGCTATTCAGTGTCAAGAGAAAAGCCAAGGAAGTGAGACTTCTAAAAACAGACTTAGGCAAGTAACTCTTTATGGGACTTTGCAGGGTTTTGTTGTTGTTATTGTTGTTTGTTTGTTTTTTGGCCAGGGCTGGGTTTGAACCTGCCACCTCCGGCATATGGGGCCGGCATCCTACTCCTTTGAGCCACAGGTGCTGCCCCTTTATAAGACTTTGAAGCCCATTGCCAGAGGTTCTTCCTCAAGTCATAAGGCCTTGAGTGGGACCTGCATGTTCTCCAATGATTCCCCAGAGGATCCCAAATGTAGGAGTGCATCATCCCCCAGCTTGTTAGTAAATTCTTTCCAGACAATAAACCACCATTCCAAATAAAAGAAGAAAATCCTGTCTTCACATCCCTCTACATCCATGTGAAAGCTTGGAGACAGAGAATCTTTTTGATGACATGAAGGGTACTGGTTCTCATGAGCCAATAAAAATAAAAACCAGGCCAGTCCATGGAGGATGTGAACTTGCATCAGTTCTTCAGTTAAATCCATGTTGAATTGCTAAAGCAAAGTCTTTACAAAACCCCCAAGATATATCCTTTGGATATATCCAGTAAAATATAGATCTAGGAGCAGAACTTTCTCAGTATAAAATGGATATTACTGTAATAGATACAAAGGATGGCAATCAGTCAAGCAACAGCAGAAGGGAGAGACAAGGCGGAATGAAGAAAGAAAAATGAATGATAGCTTGGAAGATATGCTTGATCAGTCAACACATGAAGATTATGAATCCTGTTTGAATGATAGTTTCCCCCAGGTAGTAGATGACGAGGAAGAATTAGCTGATGCCACAAAGAAACCAACCACTGATGGTGATGAACAGGATCAAGTGCAGCAGAAGGCATTTGTGGAGCCCTATTTTAAAGATGATGAAAGAGAGACTAACTTACAAAATTTTCCTCATATTGAGGTGGTTGGTAAAAAAGAGAACAGAAGAAAATTGGCTGGGCACACATACGGAATGTGAAATTTACTATGCAGATCTGCCCGCAGAAGAAAGGGAAAAGAAGCTGGCTTCCTGTTCAAGACACCGATTCCTCTACATTCCACCCAACACGGCAGAGGATTTGGGGCAAGTTGGTTTTTCTTCCACTCAGATTTGTATGCACAGAGGTTGCCTTAAGGAAGATCTTGAGCCTTGTCCTCGTCCAAAAAGACAGAAGCCTTACAACGCAACGTTTTCTCCGAACGCAAGTCATAGACGTTGAAGCAAAAACAGGATAGAGGACAGTTTGCTCCTTTGTAGTTTTTATAGTTTAAGTTGGTATTAAACACTGATTTTTGATCTTTTGTACATTGATTTATAAATCAGTTTTTCCACTGAGAAGGTTTCTAAATGTGGATGTGTTTGTGACATTTCTTGCTTTTGCACCTTTGAAACAATAAGGTGCTTTCATATTGCACTCTAACTTAAGAGTTGTTTACTGTATTTGGTGATAGCTGATACAGTTTTGAAAACTTAAAAAAAAAAATTCAGTTTCGACTGTCAGCCCTTCGTTACTCGTTTCTTCCTTGAAGGTCAAACCTTTCATTATCGGGCCTTGAGTTCTTTGAATTTCCTCCTACCATTCCAGTTGCAGAGATGAAGCAACCATCTTCTCAGTAGAATTACCTCTTTCGTGCATGCCCATCTGTCATCATCCTTGCTTTAATCTTCATCTCTTTAAACTACTTTTAAGCTTTAAGTAGGTCACTTGGTCACTTGACTATTATCTGTTTCCTTCAATATCCATACTTTTTCCTTTTCTTACTGGAATGCCCTTCTAATTATTAGGCTCCCCATCTACAAAATCTCTCGAGACTTCCTTTGCCCCCTGGGGCATTCCCATGGCAGTCACTGCTTATAACTGACTTCTGCAAACACATTTTCCCTCACGTGTGTGCCTGTGGGTATGTGCAGACTGAATCATGCCCGGGCTTCAGGTCTGTTATACCCTTAGGGCAGGACCTTTCATCTCTTTTCTCTAAATAAGTGGGGTATAAACGA